AAGGATGAGAAATAAAATCAGGACTGATACAGAACAATTATATTCAATTACTCCACTTTAAAATTTTCTTTACAAATACATACTGCTACAGTTAAAAAGTAGTCAGCTCCTTTGACAGAAGACGGATGCGGATATCCTCACCTTTACAGATTGTTTTTTTTTTTCAGCCTTTTCAAATACACAGATATGAATGTTTCAATACAGAGAGATTTGCCATAAAATAAGCAATGCTTGCTTTTTTTTCATAAAAAAAAGAGGAAAGAAAAGGTCTTAATTACAATACTCTATGCAAAAGCTTTCCTTTATGTTATTTATTTTTTTCCTCAATCATGTCGTATGATCTTTTTTTTTTTTTTATGCAGAACGAGTTTGTCGTAGTCACTGATATTACACCATCACTCTGGTTGGTGAAGCTCGGTTGTACATGAGTGAGTCTATGCGTAAAACTCCTTGGTGGGAGCTTTCTGATAGGCCGCTCCAGACGGCTTCCTCTCCCCGAGGTCATAGCTGCCTTCGTCCTTCTTTCTCATGCGGTACACCAAAAGGAGGATGAGGAAGATGGCAAAGAGGAAGCCGATAACTCCACCCGCAATGACAGCTGGAACAGAGGATTTAGGAAGGCCTAATGAGTCAGTTTATTTCAATTAAGATAAGAAGACATAGTTGAGTTGCTGCTTTTTCACAGTATATGTGAAATCTCATTCCTGTCCGACTACGTGACTAAAGTGCCATCTGGGCGTCTATGGCTCATACAAAGCAGATCCAGATTATGTCCAGTAATCAAATAATTAAATAAGGAACCCCTTAACACTGCTGGAGGGTCAGGAGATTGAGTGAAAGGAAGTGTGTCGACCCAAAACAGGAAGACATTATTTAATCTCATTGTGGTTCTGTCTTTATTTGACAGGATATTAAAGCTAAGTGTGCTTAACTTAAGAATTTGACCTTTGCACAGAGGAATTGATCTGTTATTTTAAGGGAGTTGTATGGTAACATGCTCTTTATGTTTTGTGCATCTCTCCTAAGACAAAAGATAAAGTGGGTGTTCTGGTTGAAATGTGCAGTGAACTCTTAAAACTCCCAGTGAGGGCTGCAATTCAAGTTTAAGAAAGAGCACACTTTCAAGAATTTTATTAAGCAATACTTTCTTAGAATTTTCTTCTAATATAGTAGCAAAATTGTTATAAAAACATTTATTTACACTACTATTCAAAATGTTGGGGTCAGTAAGATTATTATTATTATTATTATTATTTTAATATTTTTGTATTCAGCAAGGATGCATTAAATTGATCAAGAGGCACTAAAGAATTTACATAGTTACAAAAAAAATATATTTAAAAAATGCTGTTGAACATTCTATTCATCAAAGAATGTATTGTGGTTTCTGCAAACATATTAAGCAGCACAACTGTTTTCAAACTTGATAAGAATAAGAAATATTTCTTGAGCAGAAAATCATCATATTAGAATGATTTCTAAAAGATCATGTGACACTAAAGACTGGAAAGATGGCTGCCAAAAAAATTAATCTTTGCCATCACAAAAAATAAAATACATTTTAAAATGTATTAAAATAGAAAAGAGTTATTTAAATGGTAATATAGTTTACAATATTACCATTTTTACTGTATTCCTGATCAAACATATATACATTTTGGCATCTCCTAAAAACAATCGAAAGTGTCTTGGTGTTAAGTTATACATTTCTTTTACAGACCTGCCAAAACCTCTGTCCTCTGGAAGAGATTTTCCGACTGGACAACCAGGGGTGATCGAGGGAGGCTTGTGGTGCTTGTGACTGGGTTTCTACGCGAGTCTTCTGTGGCAGGAACTGGAGACTAAAGGGAGTGAAGAAGATGTGTTACACTATGTTAGGAGTGATGGATGACTTTATGACAGCAGTGGGTTCTTTGCTGGCTGCATGACAGTACATTAATGTTATTTACACTCATAGATCCACTTGAGACCAAGAGACCCCATTTATTCCTGGTTTGAAGATCGGTTTCGCTTGTCAGATACATCTCAAATAAAGGACCTTCTACTCCCATGTCACTACCACTTGTGATCAAATCACCTGAGATGGATGTTAATACCTCCGTGATTGACCTTACAGGTGATACACACCTCTATCCTGACTCGTTTCTTTGTGTCTTTGGGGACATCAAGTGATGTAGATGTCTCCCCTTTCGGTGTGAAGTCTTTGGTGGAGTCCTGTGTGGGCTCTGCTTTAGGCACAATGAACAATGTTTTTACTGTGACAGATTCCTCAATAACTTCTCCAGCTCCTGAAAGACAAACACATGCTGTGCTTCAGCTACAATATCCAACATGAAGGGGTCAGATTGTGCACCTAGAATCGATGAGGCACTTCTTACCCGATCCTGATCCAGAAGTGAAGTCGTCATCATCTTCAGGGTAACCTCCTGACCCCGCCTCCTCCAGGTATAAGTCATCGGTCGAGGAGGTGGATTTGGCCGCAGAGACTGCTATCTGCAGAGGTAAAAGTTAACAAGAAGTCATAAAAATGGAGATTAAGACAGAAAGGAGTAGGGTTTTTGGCTTTCATTGTCTCTTTTTGCTCAAACCCCTCGACTCAAAGGACCAGAGGCTATAAAATCGATTTTTTTAGTTTGAAACTAGTAAACAAAATCTTGCCACATGATGAATGAGTATTTTCTGTCTGCCCTGCTTATTGCTGAAATCTGAAAGTCAATATTTTCTGCCTTAACACATATTATACACAGCCTAACCTTCTCATCAGACACAAGACTCAGTGCAGACACAAGCCCAGCAGCTACAAGTAAAGTTTGCTCCACAACCGAGCATTCAGAATGAACTGCAGACTCAGCAGTTTCTGTAGAGCCACATTATGACATTTTAAAGCACTGCAGAAACTTTCCAACAACAGGTTCTTTCTCAGGAGTCCAATTGCATTGCCTCCAAAGGAGCAAATTAGCACTGCATTTTATTAAAATTACATCGTCATTCTTTTCAGTGCAAACACTCCCACTTTCTATGCCAATTAGGTTTATTACACATTGTTCCCCATTCACAAAACTCACTCATTTGCCTAGTACAATTAACGCTGCGCTATTAATTTTATCAGGATTTTATCAAGTGTGGCATTTGTGTGCATATTCAAGCAATCATGGCAGCAGTAATTAAATGATGAGAAAATGATGGAGTAGAATGTTATAATCTGGCATATTTCCAGACGCGCTGTGTAATGAAGCGCAGTTTATGCATTTTAAAGAGCATATTCAGGTGTCTAGTTCACAGTGATGGAGAGAGAGATAGTCTCAAAAAAAAAACATAAACCTGTGAAACATAAAACTATGAAAATAACTGATTATAAACAAAATGTAATAAAAAAAATAAAATATAATATAATAAAATGAAAATGTCAAATATCTGAAAATTAGTTACTCATTTTTAAGAGTACTATTAGATTCATAAACGTGAAAAACATAAAACTATTAAAAAATGTATCGTGAAAAAATGTAATAAAATAAAAATATATTACCTGAAAATTGGTTACTTTATTAAGTTGATCATTTTAAGTTGACCCACCATAAGAATACTTAGATTTATAAAATTAAGAGACCCATAAAACTTTTAAAATAATTGTGATAAAAAATAAAATAAACCCATGACCAATCACAATAAATAAATAAAACATAATAATAATAACAACACCACCACACTATATTTAAATATCTGTGCCAAGTTTGAATCACACTGTTCCAGTGTAGCACAGATGGGGATACACTATCAAATGACGATATAATCTGGATGACTGTACATTAACTATCTGTAGAGGTTTTTTGTGGTAGTGCTAATCATGTTGCTTTGTGTTATTTGGTCTTTGTGGAGTAGTTTACCAGCCCCATGGCAACCAGCATTGAGCGTCAGTCCAACCCTGCCTGTGACCGACTCTTCATACTGATGCAGCCTAGAAAAGGGCCCATAATGTGGTCACCATAAATCACGCTAGAGGGCCCGGGAATGAAGCGCAGAAAGTCTGTGGCACACATACTGGTATCTTTGTTTTAAGAGCTGTCCCTATTCTCAGCTTATATAGCCAGAGTCAATTAACATGTACTGATTTTTCTTCATGGGTAGGGGGACAGAAGAAAAAGACAAAAGACAGACTGAGAAAATTGTTTTCCTACCGAAAACGTTTTTGGGGAAATTTGTTGTTAATTAATGTATACAAAACTTTTAGTAATGTGTATTCATGTTTGTGAGACTTAGTTTCTTCTTTAAAAAGAGCCTAAGCCATTTCTCACAAAGAGGTAGACCTGTACAGAGGATGGGGAATGAACACAATGATAAAACAGCACAATAACCAGCTCATTCAAAAGCAGCAGTGACTTCCCACAGAAAAGCATTCAAGCCAAAGTCCTGATCAAAGGAGGAATTTGTTCAAACTCAAAGCAACTTTATCTTAACCTTTCTAACCCAGCATTGCTTTTCTCTCGGTAGACAATTCACTTGGCCGGCCCACACGACACTGCTGTTGATTTGGTCAAATTCTTTCTCCACTGATTGAAATGCAAAGTACAAAGGACACAATTATCTGGGCCACACACACAGGTGCATCAGCTATGCTCGATATCTTGAGTCAATTCTCTTTGTCAATGGGATTCTAGTCAAAGTTCTGCAATGAGGTGTCTAATGTGCCTTTATGTCTGGCTACAGACAATAAACAGCCCACAGAGCTCTTAAGATGCTTTCAAAACCTTTTGAAGGAATGCATTTTACTTGAGTGCTCTTGAACAATTAGTATTTAGCTTTAAAAAAACTAAACAAATTGCACCAGATTGATGAGATTCTTTTGTGCTTGAGTTGTGTATTTATATTCTGTGACCAGCATGGAAAATTAAAATGTGCAACCAACAATTATTGATGATTGCTTAGTCAAGCACTTCAAGTTAGGGCTATTAAACGTTGGCACGCAACTCATCCCACACCATTTGTTCCAAGCACATGAATGATACCTACAACTAGGCCTGGGCGATAAAACGGTGTCGATATTTATCGACGATACACCTTCTTCGATAACGATAGAAAAAATGTTCGATATAGGCGCGTGCTATGAGTGACGCAGACAGCACACACAAACATGAACACATGTTGAATTGAGTGCTGTGCCTGCCTATGATGAGATTGTGAATAAAGAATGAATATTAGTTGAATTTAAAATAAACATTTGCATTTGAATGTTAGGAGTGCGAGGGAGCGTCATTAGTGGCGCGCGAGATGCGGTGATGATGTAAGTGACGTTGTTTCATTTTAATGTTTTGTTAGTCTAGCCCACGAGACGCGCCGCTGCTGCGTTATTCATTCAAAATATTAGAGAACTATAGAAGCTCAATGCGGAGAAGATCTTGATTAGTTTAAAACAAGGGATGCTCCGATCAGGATTTTTGAAGCCGATACGGAGTACCGATTTCTTGTCATGGTGATCGGCCGATACCGATGCCGATTCTGATGCTTCAAGTTTTATATAGACTTATATAATATCGACTTTTATATAGACTTAATATAGTTAACTTACGGTCTGTGCTTGTTTATCAGTCTGGCTATGGCGCCGGCTACAAACGCAGTTAAAGTTAAGGTGATGAGTAGACTGAAGTTGGGCTCAGGTGGTTGTGCAGTGGGATGTTTCCCATACATGTATTTATTTGTGGCGCTCGCCACAATATCAAAACTGACGGATTTTCCAAAAGGCTTCTTTTAATAAACATGAGCACGTACTGCAAATTTAAAAATCAAAACGAGGTGCGGGTGTTTTTATATCACTGTATTTCTGAAGGAAGACCATCTTTAGAAAATTTTCGATGTCATTTTCATTTCATCTTGCATGTTATATGCCTGATAAAGCAGCATTTGTGAGCTCAGCGCTGCGTTGTGTACAGCCGTTACTGGGGAAACCTGTTTCTCCCGCTTTAAAGCACCTCCTGCTGCCAGAGAATGAATTTGCATTTTCAGTAAGTCTGTCTGATTTACGCAGCAAACATATTTTGCTTTTCCTATATCCACGGGTGCTGCGGATAATCCGCGGGTCGGGTAATAAAAAATGCATTCTGATTATTTGCGGGTGGGT